CAGAGATTGTGCAGTATCCTTTCAGGCTTCGGCGGGACATATACCACTGTTTAGCTTACCTGGTGAAACAGGAAGTGCAACCGAGTGATATGCACAAAAATCCCCAGTGCCGAAAGGCGCGGTGTTTACAGTGATGTTGATATCTTCAATGTCATCAGAGAGCGTTGTGTTAGCAGAGGTTTGTACTGAGTCGACAGCGGGCTGGAACGTGGGAATAATATTCAATTTCGTGATAGCATCTTGCCCGGCTTCGGCGAGACATATACCACTGTTTGCCTAACCTGGAAAAACAGGGAAGGCCGCTCCTGAGTGGTTGACGTCATCGGCCAAGGTGATGATTGCGTTGACGTTAAGAGATGTGCGGCAAAGGTTGATATCTTCATTGCACTGTAACCAAGAAGGCTCATTCAAATTTGGTGCAGTATCCTGCCGGACTTCGGCGAGACATATACCATTCGTAAGCTCACCTGGAGAAACAGGAAGCTCAGGTGGGGTAATGTATGCACCATTCGCTGATGATTGCTAGCTGGAGTAATCAATTAGCTGCTTCGCATTCTTCAACCTTTTCTGGACATCCAGTATCTTCACCGGGGGAAACAAAGGGTTCTTGAAACGGCCAACCGCCTGCTTCTCCAAGATCTCGGGGGTCAGACTCGCTTCGGTGACCACACCTTCGATCTCCACATCACGAGCTGGGATGTAAACTCTATACTCGAGCGTGAAGAGCTGGGAGGCAGCAATCTCGTTAGCCTGCTTCGGGTTAGAGACGGAGACACGAAGTTTATTGTGCCTAAACTTCGTGATTTCAGTCACGGCCGAGTATCGCTTCGTCAGATCATTAGTAATTTGCATTACATTCAAAGGTTTGTTTCTGGGCTGAAAGTAGACAACCCATGGGCCAGTCGAGTCATCTGGATAGGCTCACGATCGGGGGTTTATCTGAGCCTGCCCTTTGCCAGACTGAGACGGTGAACCAGGGATGACATCATCTTTCTTCTGAGATGACGTACGTTTTCGACCCTTCTTGCCATCGCGTGGCAAAGTGGTGTCATCTTCCGACAAAACGTCCATTTCGTCTTGCGACAAAATGTCCATTTTGCCGTACTAGTGGGAGCGAAAAACGCTCTACCACTGAAACGATAATCACTCGGACACAATACACACAAAAAAAAACTACAAACACAGAACACAAACTTAAAATTTAACTGATGGGCGAAAGAGAGAAACAAGAACATAAACTTATCTGATAATCCTATACTATCACACCGAGCGTTTAAACAGCAGCAGCGGAGCGATGCGCAGCGTGGATGATCTTCGATCAGCGTGTGCGGGCGGTCTTCGTTGGTGTGTGTTTGTATGAGGGTCGGCACTCAGCTGAACACACGATGATAGATGAGCGGTGTAAATGCGGAGGCAGATGCTGACACTCGATGACGATGATCCGTGTGCAGGTATGCGTTACCACGCACCGATGGTGCGCAAAATGGTTGGCGAATTGGCAATCGTAAAAACAATTTTCCTTCCGATGATGCCGAAAACACACTTTCTTCTCAGAAAAAAACCCACTTTTAGTTAATTGTTTAACTGGGAACTATGTCAGGAAACACTAAGCGAGAAAAACTGATAATTTAAATCAAGCGAATATCGAGAAAACTTCCAAAATAGCGGAGCGCGAACTAAGTCGACCGTACTTCTTGCTAGGACGCAGTGGAGTGACCTTATATAAATGTCATTGCCCACTAACTGCTACCAGGAGGACTGAAAGAACAAAAGAGATGGCAAGTTACTATATGCTATATGACAGATAAGCTCGTATTCGCTTTCCCTCTCATAAACCGTAAACAATGGGGTCATCATTCGTGAATGGAACGATTTTTTTTCTACGCTGAAATGCATTATCATTTCGCTTTTTCTGGACGACGATTTTTACGCATAAAAAGTAAAAGAAGGAAGATGTTTTGCTTTTTAACACAAACGCACACGGCTATGAGAAATGCCATTAGAGTAAAGAGAGTCTCCCTGCCATTCCTTCGACATATCCTCTAACAACCCAAGATATTTTCAAATCCTACTGGTAGAGCGATCTGCATGTGTATTGAATATAGTTTTGAGAATTCAGGATGAATGAAACATTGGATATTTTTTAATTAGGGGGAATGTTGGCTTCGGAACTTCTTTCCCTTTTACCGCAAGGGGAGTAAATAAAGTCTTAGAGTGTTTATTTTTGCAGAACAATGCATTGGAACATGATACAAATAAATACCCACTGATGATTATAGATAAAGAAGCATTTCCCCTATTTTCTATCGTTAAACTTTGAATATGTTTTATTCCAAATGTGTTTTTGAATATCAAACTGTACGGAATTATGATAATCGTACTGGAATTAGCAGAAATGCATACATAGTTTTTATTTAATGTGATCGTCCCACTCCACAATTAGCATTTTACTTACCCTTTGCTTTTGCAAGAAGCATTGATGAAATCTGTGGATGGAAATTGATCTGAGCATAAAATAGATAGTAGATAGATTTAGAGGCTTGAAACGTAAAATACTTTGCGTAGAGTTATTCGCTAGCGTTAGATTTTTCGAGCATCTAGGATTGAGATTAAGATGTGCCCCTCGATAATGTCACTATTACTAAAAAAAATGCTCATACCAAGAAGCAATGTTTGAAGAGAAATCGCCGATTTTTCTAAAATCTACATACTGGAAAACTGCTTTATCCACCGCAGTTTGTATTGGTTGCGTATGTTTTGGTAATAGAGCTAATAAACTATAGAGGCAGCGCTACAGTATCTCTCCTGGGTTCTGGCAAAGTTGCCAGTCTTCTTGATATGATGTCTTCGGTATAATTGTACTTGCCACACAATTATGCTAATGTAAAATGATACCGGCATTGAAAGCTCTCAATAAATAACTGTGGAAGTGCATCTACATAGAAAAAAAAGTTGTTGAATATTACATCCAAACTGCTGCACCCAGGTCAATCCAATTACATATTTTTTTGCTGTGTATAACACTAAGCTTAGAGCACGCAATAAGCTTATATGCGACAAGTAATAAGTTTAAATGCGAAGTAGAAGAAGAAGAATAAGAATTCAAAAGAAGCATATACTCTTAAAAATGAATAAGATGTTCTCATCTTTCCTACAGACACTATACATAAGCACCAACAGAAGTGTACACACCTTTCAATATATGAATCTTGGGTATGTTTGGTATAAATGGTAAAAGGTGGTATAAGTGTAAATAAATTTTGAGTGTAAAAAGCGTTCTCCCCACCGCTAGGTGTCACTACCAATTGAAATTTAAATGCCTCTGTTTCTGATTCCCATGTTACTTATCTGTTCTGTGTTTTAAGGATAGCTAAGGATTTCACTGACGTGTACTGCCTTAAATAGTTAAACTGTTCCCTAGTACGATCTACATCAGAATATTACGCAGCTTTTTGAAAAAAGGGTTCATAATGGAGTTGAGCGAATCGAGTCAGTTCAACGCAGATTCATTCGCTACGCACTTCGGTGATTACTAGGAGGCCCTATGAGGAACGTTGTTCATTGATACACATAGAACCTCTCAACACTCGTCGCGACAGAAACAACCGGATGCTTCGATTGCCACTTATTGGAACTAATTACGGCTTGCATAGCGCTATCATCGGTCTTCAAAGATTATTCAACCAACCGATGAAATTCTCATTGATACAAAAAATGCTCTCCGTTACTACCAGATTCAAGCGATCAAATTAATGACCATTATAAACGAACCAAGTGAACAACACCAACATTCTTGTATCCAAAGGCCATGTTGTATCAACGCCATTCGCCTCGTTTGAAGTGAAAGAGTTGAACATTTCAGTCACGTTCACCATTCCTTGCACCTCAACTAGCTATATAAGCATTTTGATAGACTTTCACATTTTCCCCGGTATTCCTGTACTCCTTTAAACAACTTTACCGTTTTTCCACTAGCATATCTATGGAAATCGCTTTTGAAATTTCTCGTTTTGCATTGCTTGACTCAGCCTTTTTTGGTACGACCAACTCGGACTAGGCATGGATGAACACAACGAGCTTGATGCAGTACCGTAGAACCCCGTTGTTTTGAGTATCTAAAATTGCAATTAAACGACGGTTGAACTTGTATCCCTGCACAGGTGCCCAATTGCTTTATGCACCTGTGAAGGGGAACCAGATCAACGAATTCTAATGTAGCGCCATTTAATGGCATGCAATTGTAGCTATTCAAACTAACGGGATTCTACGGTAGCATCCCTCCTTCTGATGAATAGTTCGGGCAGAGAGTGGGGGGTTTTTAAAAGAGGATTAGGATAGCTACATACCAGAACTTCTTTTGGCAATCGTGTACTATAGGGTGGATCAGACACAAGCCATCGGACGTAGTCCCAAATTGGAGTTAAAGTTGCGTCGCTCCAGAACAATATTTCAAAGGTATAAATTTACCATTGAAAAGGCGACCCCTTTGAATCCACGACAAACATATATTTTGGGTAACCCTAGCGTACAACCGACTGATGACGACCAGCAGCACATTGGTTTTGCTTTTCCCAAATTACACTTTGTTCCATTTTTGCCTTTAATCCCGGTTTAGATGATTCAATTAACTTGAACTGCAAAATGAACGACCAGACAGCTGGTCGATGATAGATTTGTTCTATTCGATGTCAAGACAATTGAACACCGACTGTCACTTGAACCGTGTATTTTGGCCTTTAGGAAAGACCAGTTCGCTGTCCAATGGCTATGCTGAATTTGGGACATGTGGGTGGTAATCTTTTTATTATTGTTTGTTTGCCTCAGGACATAATCCATAAAACTCTATCGATTCAGAATGATCCGACCTTTGCATGAAACAATCGTTTTTTGGCTTAAAATGTTGCTTTCTTCCTAAAGTTAGAATGTGTCAATCATGCAGGAAACAATTCACTAATGGTACCCCCCATCTCTCTCTCTCTCTCATCTTCTTTTCCTTCCAGATGGACCCAGCCAACCCGAACTCGGCGCTGATACCGACATGTGCGACGATTTCCACCGGCACCAGTGTCGCCAGTCCCAGTTCGGCCATAGCAACCATAGGAGGAGGCGGCGTCGGAGGCGTCGGTGGCATTGGGGGTACATCTTCGGCCATGGTCCCCGTCGGAAACCACCCATCGACGCTGCTCAGCCCGACGCTCCTGTCGCCGGGGACCAACACCGGAACGGCTTCGATTGCCACCTCCCGGGATGACGAGGACGATTCCAGCCAACAGATCTCGTCCGCTGGCAGCAAAAGCTCCGGCCAGCGGTAAGTGTTTCCACACCGACTCTGACCCCCACTTGAGCGCAGCGCAGCATTCCGGTTTTTGTTGTCGAAAGAAGTTCCATCACGCTCCTTGCGGTGGCTTCCGAGGGGGATAATTAATTAATATTAGCATCTACCGAAATTGGACAGGGACTTTGGCATGTTCCGGAGTTTAGCTCGGTCACCACCGAAAGAAGCGGAAAAAGTGAAAGTCACTCCAACGGCCAAAGTAGAGACGAAGGTCGGTTATTAATTGGTGTTACGCAAATGATGGATTACTCTGCGCCAAGCCCCCCAAGATTTATTTTTTTTTTCGACCGACGGACAAATAATCCACGAACCGACTCATGGCTCAGCAGCGGGGATTAATTAGAATAAAATGTCAAGTTATTTGGCGGTAGAATCTACTTTTTAAGGCAAACGCGACGGGACGGGATGAGTTTTATGATGAAGTTTATGGTGACCTTTGTCAGGATTATGATTTTTTGTGTCTCTGATTCTTCTTTTCCCTGTCGAGAACCGGTAGGTGGGGGGGGGACTCAAATTAGTCTACTTTCCTTCATTTCACGGGGTATTCACAGTCGGGATAGTGACCTTCGTCAAACTTGGTTTGTTGTTGGGTTGGGACACAGTCGTTCGAACCGATCGGGACCGGTATGGAAGAAGTGTGGTGCAAAAGCAAACAAAATTTAATCAAGTGTATCATTTACTGACCCTACCCTTTTTCCCTCCTGCTGCAATCATGGTTTATTGGCTGTCCGTCGTTGGTCTGGCGGTGGGGTGGGATGGACAGTGTGGTGGTGGTGGTGTAGGTATTACAATAAAATGGTTTGTTTCTTTAGGACAGATTAAGGGATTGGAATTGATGTTTTTTCAGGTCTCTTGAGCGGTGATTTGCTTTATTTTAAGAAGAATGGACGATTGGCACAACCAAATAGCGGGGGAGAATATCGGTACTGATTTAAAGTAAATACCAGAAGTGCTATGACTTTCCAAGTAACAATGCAAGCTGAACAACAAGAACAAAGGCTGATCACTGACTAATTAAAGGTGTAGAAAGCTAATATTACTCAAATTAACAATAAATGGTTAGAAAATTGGCTTTGTAAACATTTAATCAACTTGATATTCAATATTTAATTGATATGGGATAAAAAATTGATTAAATATGAGTCATATAAGAACTTAAGAAAAAATGTGAAGTCGAATGATCATTATTCGATAATTAGGGGCGATCCATTTATCATGCTAAATTGAGGAAAATTAAACCCCTCTTTCGTGACGTTTTTCTTATACCTAATGCATTGCTTGGCACCAGATCATAAACGCCCGCCCCCCTTAATGCGTGACATAATATGTGCATCTCCCCTTAGTCTGAATTGTCACTAGGGCCGAATGGTCATTAGGTCGAATGGTCATTAGGTTGAATGGTCATCATGCCGAATGAGTTCCAGCTTACCCAGACTTAAATAAATGTTGACGACCTTTCTTACAAATTTATTTTTTTAATTGCTTTATTTGTACAGGCTCATTCGAATAAACTTTACAGAGCCAAGTTATACATTGTTGATGTCTTAAATCTAAAATGAGTGGATTTGCACCGATTACTCACGGTCTTCTCGAGGTTAGTGGATGACAATTGTATGGATAGGGAGAGGGAGATGGAGATGATTTATGATTAAAAAATCCTATCAACGTTATATCTTATAGCTTTGTAATCATACAGTTATTACATAAACAAATAGGGGAAATGTTGGCTTCGGCAATACCTTAACCTTTTATCGTCAGGGGGGTAAACAAAGTCCTAGAGCACTTAAATTTGGCCAATGGATGCTCTCAAACACAATGTATCCACATACAGTCAAGATTCATATAGTATGGATAATAGGGACCGCACTATAGGAATCGGCATTAACGAATACACGTAGCATATGGGATTAGAGCTAATTGGGGACAAACGCTTATTGTAGGGTAATGAAGAGATAACTTCCTGGTGTCTTCTGTAAAGTTACTAAACAGAAAATTTGCCACCTTTTGGGAACATTGAGCATCCGGAAAGTCACGAGTCTGATCCTCCGGAAGACCCGGGAAATCCGTAAAAGTGGTCAATTCATGAAACTAATCCTAGAGCTCAGCAGATTTTTCGAAATCACTCCTAGACATTTTAACAGAATTAATTCGGAGTTGTGACTGGAATATGGACACTGGAGACCACAATATGGTCCACTGAAAGATCCAGAACGTCCGTAAAAGTGGTCAATTTATGAATCTGATCCTAGAGCACAGCGGATTTTTCGAAACCACTCCTAGACGTCTTATCAGAATGAATTCGGAGTTGTGATCCAATTATGGACCCTGGACGCCACGGTATGGTCCTCTGGATGATCCGAAACATCCGAGAAAATGGTCATTTCATGAAAATGATTCTGAGCTTTATGTTTTTTTTTCGAAACTGCTCATAGACGCCTTATCAGAATAAATTCGAAGTTGTGGCCTGAATATGGACCCAGAGGACCACGTTATGGTCCACCGGAAGATCCGTAACATCTGTAAAAGTGGTCAATTAATCAATCTGATCCTCTAGACATCTTATCAGAATCAATTCAGAGTTGTGACTAAAATATATGGAATCGCATAGTCCCCAGAGTCCATATTCCGGTCACAACTTCGAATTTATTCTGATAATCAAGCAAATGGAACCAAATTAGGCATGTGGGGGCGAGTGTGGGGGTATAAAGAGATAATCATAGGGGGTAGCCCCTTAGATAATAGGGGGGGGGGGGGCTACGTACAATATAGCATGCTTTTTTAAATCGGCGCATAAACTCAAGCTAATATTGAATCCCGAGCAAGACCGGGCACACTCAGCTAGTACCACTATAAAACTTGACGTATACAAAATCAATCTTAGTTGAATTTAAAAAGTTTTGAAGAGATTCTGAACTTTCCAGATTGACGTAAACATTGACGGCGCCATTGAGCCGGACTGTCTCTTCACGCAGTGATTGACAGTTTCTTATGAGGTATTCGGAGGTTTGTTATAAAGAAAGTTGAAAACACTTGTTTATGACATCTCATAAATTAATACAACTGAAAATGTGCAGGTTGTCTTATAAGGAGTTGAAAATACTTTAAAATAACACTCTGTCAAATAGATGTACACTTTGCTGCTAACAAAACATCTTTATAACGGATCGAAAGCGTGTTGAACGAGAATATTATTTTCATACCTTTGGCAAGAACATGATAGATACTTATAACAAACCTCTCATCAAGCGGAGTTGGTCTAGTTAGGAAGTAATAAGTCCACCACGCCAAGGACCAGTGATCAAATCCCATGCTCAAGTTTTTTTGATTGTTTTTTTTGCCGCTGGTTTTTATGATGTTACCAAAACATGTTATAAAACCAGTATTAAGTTGTATAAGCTCCACGTCTTGCGCTTTTTAGGTTATATAAATGTATTAAATGACGTATATTACAGTATTATTGATTCTTTACGTAAGTCATTAAAAAGTATCTTCAACTTATTTATCGGTGGTGTAGTGGTAAGCGTGATTACCTCTCACCCCAGCAGGCCTGGGTTCAATCCCAGTCGGCGCCGCCGGGATGTTCTGAGGCATAACATCTCTGATCACGCCTTCTTTCGGATGGGAAGTAAAGCAGTTGGTCCCCGGTTCATGAGTTGATGGGTCGATAGGTAGGGTCCAGGTGTGGGAGCTGCCTTCCTGGCACGTCGATAGCATTGGTGCTCAGCACGGAAAACAAGATCGACGGAAAAAACAAACCAAAGGAAAAAAAAAAAAAAAAACTTATTTATGACAAGCCATGTTGCTTGGGTACACAATATAGTGTGGCGCACGGATAGATCGACTCGCCCCACACAGTTTCAAAAAACCGTGGAGTTCTAGGATCATTTTCAAGCATTGACCACTTTTACGGATGTTCAGGATCTTCCGAAATACCATCCCGTAGTTTCCAGAGTCCATTTTCCAAACACAACTCCAATTTCATTCTGATACGATTTTTATGAGTGGTTTTGAAAAAACCGCGAGGTTCTAGCATCGGTTTCATGAATTAACCACTTTTCGAATCTTTTTGTGAACCATCCCGTGATCCCTGGCATCCATTTTCTGGTCACAAAACCTAATTCATATTTATCAGCCGTCTATGAGTGGTTGCGAAAAAACCGCGGAGCTTTAGAATCTGTTTCGTGAATTGACCAGTTTTACGGATGTTCCGGATCTTCCGGAGGACCATCGCATAGCCCCCAGGGACCATTTTCTGGTCACAACTTTGATTTCATTGTGATAAGACGTCTATCCCGAGTAGCACACTTCCGTTAAGTAAAGTTGCAGCAACTTGTTTATGACTGAAATAAGTCTTAAATAAGTTTCTACAACTGATATGTGACAAGCTTGCTACTAGGGATGAGTGGTTTCAAAAAAACCGCAGAGCTCTAGGATCAGATTCAATTATGGATCAGTTTTACGGATGTTTCGGATCTTATAGTGAACCATCCCGTAGTCCCTAGCGTCCATTTTCTGGTCACAACTCTGATTTAATTCTGATCTGTTTCATGAATTGACCACTTTTACGGATGTTCCATCGCATAAACTCCAGAGTCCATATTCAATTAAAAGCTCTGAATTCATTCTGTTGAGACACCTATGAGTGGTTTCGACAAAACCACGGAGTTCTTTGGTTTCATGAATTGACCACTTTTACGGATGTTCCGGATCTTTTAATGAACCATCCCGTAGTCCCCAGCATCCATTTTCGGGTCACAACTCCAAATTCATTCTGATAAGACGTCTTTGAGTGGTTTTGAAAAAAACCGCGGATCTTTAGGAGCAGTTTCATAAAATGACTACTTTCACGGATGCTCCAGATCTTCCACAGAACCAGTCTTATGACTAACCGGGAACTGACTATTAACAAAAGGTGACCAACTATCTGCTTAACAACTTCTCCATAGACATCAGGAAGCTATCTCTTCAGTGGC